GGGGGGGGGGGGGGGGGGGGGGGGGGGGTTCCATCCGTGGGTGCATCTTAGGAACTATTTGGCACAATAAGGGAGAAATTTCTTCACTTCTCCCTTGAGGACAAGAAATCTTGCTGATAAAAATAAGCGTTTAATTTTTCAAGGGGTAAACATTGGAAATCAGGTTAGTTAAAGTTAAAGGAGAGCATACATTTTTAAGCAGGGGTCGAGGCATGAGGTAAGCAACTATCAATGGGTAGCTTTGTGAGAGTAGACCTCCCACGCTCCATGAGTGCCTTTTAATGGATTTTAGCTTGAACCAACGGAAAACTGACTCTGCCAATCAATACATATTCATATTTTGTGAATATCTCTAATATTGATGTAATCAACTAATGTTCGTTGAAAGTTTGTTAAAATTCTTCATATTAATTTATCTTTGAATATTATCAATATGATGATAAAACTTCGCTGATTCTAGATGTGAAGTTGCATATAGGTAATTATTTAATAAATCATAACGGTTTAGATTCTTAACCAGTTTGACCGTTATAATGGTAAAGTATTGCCGTCTTCTCATGAGGTTAAATGTTAATGATGCAGGTCAGTGGAATGCCTACCTTTTGCATTCCTATCCAAGATGGTGGAATTGGATTTGATTACCGGCTGCACATGGCCATTGCTGATAAATGGATCGAACTTCTCAAGTATGTTGTTTTCTTCCTCCTACTTTATTTAGATTTGCTAAAAATACATATTGGAATGTTCTTCAATTTAGTTATGAGTAAAATACAAAATTAATTGTGATCAAATTTATCTTTTTATTGATAAAATCATGTGTCATACGTCCCTAGTGCATGACATAATCCATACAATATTGGAATGAGAAATTTTCAAGACAAATGATGACCTATTAATAAAACAGGGTTCATTTTAGAACTTTTTTGAAGGATTAAACCTTGTGATATATTTTTATTTAAGTTTTTCTCCACCAAGTGTACGTAAAATAGTTTTGAGATGCTCTGCTTAACCAATTTTGTGTATGGTGTAGGAAAAGCGATGAAGACTGGAAAATGGGTGATATTGTTCACACGCTTGTTAACAGAAGGTGGTTAGAAAAGTGTGTTGCATATGCTGAGAGTCATGACCAAGCTCTTGTTGGTGATAAAACAGTTGCGTTCTGGTTGATGGACAAGGTTAGTAAACATCATCCTGAACTCGTGTTGTGAACATCTCTACTATTGATGGACATCACACTTGAAATTTAAGGCTGTTGCTCAAGTATTATTGGGTTGTTATTTCATGTTCAAGTTGTTTTCTTAATTTCATTATTTCCTTTTCATGTACATGCCCCTAAGGTTTAGACCATGTTGATTTTGAGGTTTAAGGGGAGAAAAATCCTCTCAAGAAAAAGAATCTTTGTTCAGAACTCAGAAGCTTCACATAGTTAGTAGTAGAAAGGATATTGAGTTGTTTGATGGTGTTTCCAAAATTTCTAAAAAGCTTCTCAAATTTTTCATAGTTTCAAAAGCATACATGTAGAATGATGGTGTTAAACGTTTAAGATATTCTCTTGGCTTTTTCCCCCTTTGGAAGCACATGATCTAAGCTTCGCATTCTTTCGTAAGTGCTAGTATAGTTATCTCTGGATACTTATTGAAAACGTTCTCAAACTTACCACATTCTTTTCCATTCATAATTGCATGCAGTAAACTAACAACTAAGTTATGTAGGCTCCATACTAAACCTAAATTCTGAAGAATAGAATTCACTGTAGAAATGTGAGTTTATCTTTCATTTGAATCGCATGTTGTGTTTGATACTAACAAAGAGCAGTCAACTACACATTCATTATATTGTTAAAGTTACAAGCCCGGAAATGAATCCGAAAAGCAAGGTAGCAGATTGAATTTCGCATTACAAGAATATTTCAAGATATGCTAGCATGCTAATTTCTTCTAAGCTCCGTGTTTTACATTTACTATCAGCTACTGAATTTTTTATGAGTTTGTCAGCTTGGCTCAAAGAAATAAATAAACAAAAGGAACTATCAGAAAGATGGATATGTAGAACTACTCATAAATCACTGTAAATTTGTCCAGAATTGGGGCTAGTATTTGTCTAATTGTAGATTTTGTGCTCAAACTCCTCATCCAAGTTTATTACGGGAGTATAAGTATGGAAACCTCTATAAATCTTAGATGTTTAAATGAAGTTCACTTTTCGTCTACTGTTTTCATTTCTTCAACCGTTCATCCAATTTTATGAGGCATCGGGTTTTAGTTTTTTATGAGACATAAATTTTATTAACCTATACTTTGAAATTAACTTATATCTTTTCATTTCAATTTTTTCGTTTGTATTAGGAGTTGTTCCATTAACCTTATGGAGCACATACAAAGAGGATTACTTCTGCTGTTAAGTCTCCTATATTTATGTTTGCAGGACATGTATGAATTCATGTCTTTGGATAAACCATCAACTCCTGCAATTGATCGTGGAATAGCATTACATAAAATGATAAGGCTTATTACCATGGGATTGGGTGGAGAAGGATATTTGAATTTCATGGGGAATGAATTTGGACATCCTGGTAAGATACTCCCCTGCTTGGTCTTTTATTGTTATATCAATGGGATGATATTTCATATAAATCATTCATTATATGGGGTATCATGGTTTTATCAAAATGTTGCTCTATTATTTCCTCTGGAAAATCATGTCTTATATCATCCTTCCAGAGTGGATTGATTTTCCAAGGGGCGATCAACATCTTCCTAGTGGTGCAGTAATTCCTGGAAACAACTTTAGTTATGATAAATGTCGGCGTAGATTTGATTTGGTGAGTAATTTCCCACTTATATTTTCTTCTCTAATTTAGGCCAATACTTTGGTGAAGAGCGATTCTCACGTGTCTGAAGTCTCACCCTTAGGTTTCATATTCCCTTGCTGATATTTGGTACAGTACAACACTACCAGAACTCAAATGATTAAAATATCGACTAATTTTTATGGTAACCAGACTATAAACTCAAAAGGATGCTTGATGAAACCAAGGTTTAGCAAGTTTCTAGATTATGAAGAAAAAAATGAAGCAGAAGGATTTTAACCACTTCGTTCATATGTTTGCTTCTGCAGTATGATTGGGGGAAATTATTTATTTATTTTAATTATCAGATAGCTTGTATTTCAATTCTATCCTTGACTATGTTGTTTTGTTCGATAGTTAAATAATTATCTGAGTTAGCCTTGATACCCTCTAACATAGTAAATATTTCCCCAAATTTCTGTTAATCTATGTCCTGATCAGATTTTCCACGTTCTAAATAGCTTCCCCAAACTTCTGTTGATCTATGTTCTGGTCGGGTTTTCCACACTTTAAATGGTTTTCGCATTGATTGTGCTCTCACTCCTGTCGTTTACATTAGACGTGATCTACGAATTATGATGTCTTGAATTCTCTTAAATTCTATTGTTGTTTTAGGTTTCCCTTTCCTTTTCAGTATTATTTATATTGTTGTGGTATTCTGCATTCTCATTCTCAAGCATTCAAAGCTTTCTTGATGCCTCCGTACAAATTGCTTTTATTTCCCCATGAGCCTGGGAATGTTATTTCAATATCATTTTAGCTTTCATTTTCTTTTAATAATTTCATTATGGTTTTCAATGCTAGAAAATTTTGTTTAATTTTAATTGATACATTTTTCATTTAAAAAATTATTATTTAATGTATTGGTTTTTAGTAATTGCACTATTTCATCAAATTCTTGTGGTATAAGCCATTGTGAAATACCTCTGGAAACAAAAAAATAATTGTGAAATAAAGATAATTACATGTTCCAGTGGATATTTTACATGTAAATACAATTATCTGATATTCTTTAAATGTATAGTTTTTTCATTTTAAAAATATTTTGTTCCAAGGTAACGTGTTCCATACACATCTAATAAAGAACTTTGGGGAAATGCATCGAAGTCGTAGTCACCAAATCTGTTCCAGTTCAGAAGGACGGACCAGTTGATACATATATTTAATAAATATGTCTGTACTAACATTAAGGTTGCATATGTGCACTCAGGGAGATGCAGAGTATTTAAGATATCATTTTATGCAAGAATTCGATCGGGCGATGCAGCATCTTGAAGAAGCATTTGGCGTAAGTTTTCTCAGTTTTGTAAAGCTTATGTTTTTCAATATTGAGACATTTTCCCAAGTCCCTGGATTATAAAATTTAAATCACATCTAATGACTGCATGACCTGACATGTAAAAATGTCCAACTATGCTTAAACGGTTTATTCAGTCCAAGTTTATACAACGAAGGTGTATATTACAAATTTGCGTACATGTAATTTTACTTTCCAGACGTTGTAATGACGGTCTCATTTTTCTCGTTAAAGTTGTCTCGATTGTCCCTTCCTGGATTTTGCCTTTTTGTTGTCCATTTGTATTATAACAGATCAATCCAATCAATCCACCCTTAACCCTAAAATTTTGGTTCTAGTCAAATCTGATGGCTTATTTTAAGTTTTTGTTTCTTTCCACTAGAGTTGTAGGGCACATTTATGAGATTTCTTTTTTCACTCTTTCTCTCTCTCTAATTCTTGTACATTTTATTAACTGAAAGTCGAAACTCTCTGCACAAATTTTATATTTAATATTTTAATCAAGTGTCTTCTGCTAAAGGAAACGTACTGCAACGTCTGGATTGACATGCATTTTTCGTTGTTGATGTGTTTTTTTATAAGTATATTTGATCCTATCTAACCAGCTTCTCTACAAATTTGGTATTTCAGTCTTTTAATTTTATGTTTTCTGTCATCAGAGCTGTAATGCAGAGTGGAAAACTTTATTGGATTGGCAGATAATTCTCGTCTGCTTAAATTGTCTTAATAATATCTTTTTATCATAATTTCGAAGCCGCCTTTTCTTTTCCCTTGCTGACTTTCATGTGCCTAAAAATTTGTCATTGTCAACCATACTTGGCTTCAAAAGTTCAGAAAATGCACATTAAACATTAACTGGTGGTTGCAGTTCATGACATCTGAACACCAATACGTTTCCCGAAAGGATGAAGGAGATAAAGTCATTGTGTTCGAAAGGGGGGATCTGGTTTTTGTTTTCAATTTCCATTGGAGTAACAGCTATTACGACTATCGAGTGGGGTGCCTCAAGCCAGGAAAATACAAGGTATAGTATGTGTAATATTTTTTAAGTTCACCCATGGGTGAGAAATTCGAATTTCAGGTCGAAACATGTTTAGAGGTTACGTGTGTCTAACTAATTGTGCTATGTTTACATTGTCATTATAGTATGGGGAGTATTAAAATTGTCACTATGATCTTTCTCTTACACATTTTAATCTGTTCAAACTCTAATGTGGCATTGTTTGCATGTTGTAGATTGTCTTGGACTCGGATGAGCCCTCGTTTGGAGGGTACAATCGGCTTGATCATTATGCCGAGTACTTCACATTTGTAAGATGGTTTCTTTAGATCCTTTTTTAATTAGATTGGTCCATGATAGATATGGATTCACATTTTTGCTTGTGCAGGAAGGAAACTACGATAACAGGCCTCGTTCATTCCTAGTATATGCTCCTTCCAGGACGGTCGGGGTCTATGCTCTAACACCAGATGATTCTGAGCTTGTAGAGGGCGAAACCGAAACCGAAACCGAAACCGAAACCGAAACCGAAACTGAAACCAAAACCGAAACCGAAATCAAAACTGAAATTGAAACTTCAATGGAGTAGAGTTTCTGATGTGAAGATGGTACCATTCATGGTGTACCTAGAGAACCATGTGGCGAAGATGGTTCAACACAGAACCGATGTGGAATCTTCTTGCCAGACAATTCTGCCAGGTAACTGGATTCATCAATTAACAAGGTATAACCTTAAATCCAATGCAATGAATTTCATCTGCGTAAAGTAAAGACAACTTCAGAGGATGGGTAGATGTTTTTACTGTTCTATTTAATTCTTGGCAATTATATTTGGTTGTTTCAGATTCCGGAGCTGGAAATTTCTTAGTAGAACGTGTAAGTACATAAAACTCTTTCCAAATACCTAGTCCTGCTTAAATTATAATGAAATACGGTAGAGTCAGCCATGAAAGAATGCCTATAAGATCTTTAGTATAGTCAGCACTTCACCTTTTCTCAGTCTTAATAATGTTGTTTTTCCCTAGAATATCACCATCACAGTGGAAGATTTGGATCGATAACCTTTTTAAGAGTAATATTTTTTTGGTGGAAGATTTTTTCTTACTCTAAATCACAAATTTAGGTGATGCTATTTAATTTTAGAAGTATTAAATAGGTCCTTACCCTTTAATTGTGTAATTTATCTCAAAATGTTTAAATTTAACCTTCCTTTAATCTATTATACATTCTTTAACCCTAATTTATAAATCTAGAGATTGTATTGGATAGGCTTAAATTTGGTTATAATTCAAGTGGGATTAATGAATTTTTGTTGAGGGGGAGGGGGTAGAAAGGTGAGTGGGTGAATTATTCGTTGGTTCAAAGAGTGGCATTAAACCCCATGTGATTGTTCAGCAAAGCAATTAATTATTTGTCTGACATGTCGTATTTCAGTAAAGATATCCTTCCATGTGGGTGTGTGCTGTCTGCCGCAAATTTTGCTTGTGAGAGAGGGAGACATTTTATTTTATTTTTATTTTATCTTATTTTTTTAATTTGGATTTTTGGACTTACTCTCTTTGCGTAATCTTTATTTAATATGCAAATTCAAATCTATGACAGGACAATAATTTTAGATTTTTATAGCCTCTGCCCACTGCCTCAACATAAAATTTGTGTAGCAATGTAGGAGGTCTAGATGCTTTGGTGGGATATATTATAAATTTAGTTTTTATTATTACAATATTTAAGCTTAGTACTGAGTTTCTTTGAAGTTTTAGTTGAATCTTACAAATTGAAACTAGAGACTAGATTGAAATTTGAAAATAAAGTTTATTTTAATTATTTTTTTTACCAACTAATGAAAATTTATTTATTTTTCATGCTTATAATTAGATCATAATTTGAAAATCATGCAGTACAAAAATATAGTCAATGAACATGGTTAAAATTTATATTATATTATCGAAAAGAAATGATGGGCAGTTTAGTCTCTACAATTTGTTTAATATTTCTTAAGCAAATATTTAAATTATTGGCAAAATTAAAAATCAAATAGGTCAATATTTTGTATGTGTTAGAAAATCGTAGGCAAAACAATAAAGATGACAATAAAAATAAATGATATAAGCAATTTTCAACCAACCACATTCTAAACAGGTGAGGGATGAAAGTGGAGCTTGAAACTCTTTTTTTTTTTTTTTTTTTTTACACATA